GAGAACAGCTTGCTGTCATAGGGTATGTCTACACTGCAGGCTAAAGTTGAGTTAAGCTACACAACGTCAGCTACTTTAATTGCGTAGCTGAAGTCGAAATAGCTTAACTCGGCTTTTGGCTCTGTCTACACTGCAGGAAGTCCAAGGAAGAACACTCTTCCTTTGACTTCCCTTACTCCTCGTGAAATGAGGGTTACAGAAGTCAGAGCAAGAAGCCTGTTATTTCAAAATTGTATTGAAATAATAGGCTTGCTGTGTAGACGCGCACTCTATTTCAAAATAACATGAGTTATTTTGAAAGAAACGTGCAGTGTGGACATAGCCATAGTTAAAACATCACAATACTGGACTTCTTTTCTGATAGCATGAGATATAATTGTGTTTCTGTATTTATACAATTTGTCCTTTGCACTAGGTGCAATTGAAAGCCCTCTGAGTCCTATTGAAGAGAACAAAACTACATTGAATGTATAGGAATGTGCAATTAATTTAATAACCTTTTCCTCCCAAGGGTTTATTTTATGTAAGTTTGTAATTAGCACATATGCTTGGGGATTTGGTATGATCAAGCTTTATTTCTTCACATAATCATTACACCATCATGACTCCAAGCAGTCTCTCGTTTCCATCTTGCATGCCCTGCCTAAGTAACTAAAAAATATTTCTTTTAAAAACTCCCAACTGCCACATCTGATTGCACTGTGGTGAATAGGAAAATTGGAGAGAGGCATTGATTTCACTATGCTCAGATTCCAAGTTTTATCGTCAGCTATTCATGTGAGAAAAATGATTATACACCGAATTTACGCATCACTTGCAGAAGCATGGTTGCTGTCTTGAACTAAACAGGACTGATCTATTGTGTACAGAATGCTGTCAGGCTGTATATGATAGAGGTCTATAAAATCATGACTGGTATGGAAAAAAATGAATAAGGAAAAGTTATTTACTTATTTACTTATTCACACAATATAAGAACTAGGAAATCAACATGGTAGTTTCACCACACCTGCATTCCGGCCCCACAACAAATGTCTTTGTCTTGGCACACCACACATGCAAGGAGAGGACAGTGCTGCTGCACACAAGCACAAGTTGCCACTTTGGGCAACTGGTGTTCAAAAGGGATGTGGAGGCCTTCTCTCACAGGCGGTGGGGCAGACTGAAAGATCAGTGAATAGCTTTGCCTAGTTGATGGAGCTGGCTTAGAATTGAGCTAGTTTGTTGTTTAGGCAATAATAACTTGATTTAATGTTGTAATGTAGTCCAAATTATTGTGGTGAGTGCTGTGGCAGCCGAGAAATGCTTTAAAAAGTGTTTAAAATTGATGTCTTCCATTTTATCTACTATATATTTGAGAGAGTTTGTCTGTCTGGTCAAGAACTCCTCCTAAACAGCAAGGCTGCGTCTAGACTGCGGAAAAACTTGCCAGCTGTCTACACTGGCCGCTTGGATTTGCACAAGAACACTGACGATTTAATGTAAGATTGTCAGTGTTCTTCCGCAAATACTATGCTGCTCCCATTTGGGGAAAAAGCCCTCTTGCGCAAATGTATTTGCGCGAGAGGGCCAGTATAGACAGCTAAAAGCTGTTTTGCGCAAAAAAGCCCCGATGGCGAAAATGGCGATCGGGGCTTTCTTGCGCAAAACTGTCTAGATTGGCACGGACACTTTTCCACAAAAAGTGCTTTTGCGCAAAAGCATCCATGCCAATCTAGACGCTCTTTTCCGCAAATGCTTTTAACGGAAAAACTTTTCAGTTAAAAGCATTTGCGGAAAATCACACCAGTCTCGACATAGCCCAAGAGTTAGGACCACCAAATCTGGTATGCAGCTTCTTATCATAACTTAAGGCAAGGTCAGGGTTTGGTTGTGCCAGGAAAATGGGATGTGCCTGGAATGGGAATGCTTCTCATACAACCATACAGAAAATAGACAGAATCATCAGATGAAAGGGGTTGGCTGGGGGCAACCCCCCTATTTGGGACTTCCCCAACCCCAAGCCTCCCACCCCCCAGGGACCCTTTATGAAGGGCAGGGAAGATGCAGCTTCCCCTTCCTGCCTCCAATTTGTACAGAAACATTGCTGGCTGCTCCCCTTCATCAGGGGGTGAGGTGAAAGTGCCCGCTTTGCTGAATTCCTCACTCTGGCTGGGGAGCGCAGGGGACAAATGAACCTGGACCTGCCTCAGCCAGGGGACATGCACCCCTGTGACGGACCGGACTGGGTCTGGGCACGGCTGAGGGCATCGGCTCAGGGCAAATTGCTCAAACTCGGGGCTCCTTACAGCCCCTGACTGGAAGCCCTTCCCAAATAGGCCACAAACCAATCACACCGAGCGCTTCAGCTTCCAATCTGGCCAGCCAGAAGCCTCACGAGCAAAACCCCTCTGACACCCCAGCTCCCCCTGTGCCCCAATCAGCCCTGGGCCTACCACACAGGTTAGGGGGTATAGAACCCAATCTCATCTACCCCAAACGGGGTCTTCCAGTCCCAAGAAACCAGCAGATAATACATTATGCGCATCAAATCACCCAGTTCTCGATGCAGACTCTTAGCAGAGCTTTTATAATCTGCTATCTTAAAAGTGTCTGGAGTACATCCTATGTCAGGATGGGTCCACGGTTCCTGCTGGCTCGTTGTTCCCTGCAAGGCTGCATCTGGGATCAGGAGCAAAACTGAAGACCAAGATGGAGGGTGCCACGTGGCCCTTATATACCTCTCCCGGCATCTTCTTGGCCACAGCAGGTCACCTGGTCAGTGGCCTATCCCTGTGTCCCATGCTGGTCCGCAGGTATCTGTCACATTCCTGAGGTGAGTATTGGCACCTACAGATTCATTGTCCCCTTACTAATTAGCATAGCCATTGGCTGAGCATTCTTTGCCCATTGCTTAGCCACCGACAGAATTTTCTAGCATCCATACTGAGTACATGTTTATAACTCCACATGCAGATATTATACCGTTACATGAATAGCATATACAGAATCAGTAGAACAGAAGCTTTCATGTGACACCTCACATGGCCCCCTTTGTATACATTTGGGGCAAATACCCCCCCCCCCCAGCAGTGCAGCAGTGATCTGGCTACTCTCCTTAAAATCCAGTAACATGACAACCCCTCCCCCAGCTTTGCCCACTGGAGCTGCAGTGGCCATGGAGAGGCGCTTCTCACTTGGCCCCAAGGTGCTGCAATGAGAGATGCCTAGGGTCATTGTCTCTCCATGGGGCAGCCTGGATACTGATCCCCTCCCCCTACCCTCGAGCAATGATTTAAATGAAGCATGGGCATTTTCATTTCATTTTCCAAGAAACAAAAATTACTTGGGTTATGGACCTGAGCAATGCTGGGTAAATCTTCTAGTTATCTATAACAATCTTGGCAGAATTTGATTTGTATTTTTTAAAATGATTTCAGTGGATATTATCAATGTTTATTTTCAAAGCATTTTTTTAGATTTTTATCTATTTTAAATGTTCATAGTTGTGGGAATTTTAGGGTGGCACTGTCATTCAGAAAATTCAAGCTTTATCAACAGGCAATACACTCTGTCAACAGCACAGGTCAAAATATACATCAACAAATCTTGCCTGTTTTTACTATTCATTCACTAGTCCGTTTGTAACAAGCCATATTTAAAACACTAGATTTGGATTCTCATAAGTTCTCACACCTCATTTTCTCACATTGTCTAGTGATTCATTTCAATTATTCTAGATAGAAATTTTTTTTTGTTTACGACTGTGAAATCAACATTTACCAGTAAAAATATAATTCTCTCAAGCTTATCTAAAAGAGGCTTGAATTTCCTTGAGTCGAGCACAGGAGTTTGGGGCAAACGAGAGCAACAGCGAGGAGGTGGTGAATCAGGACATCACAAGTATGCCAATGACTATTAAATGAAAAGCACTGTGGTGACCAAATGATACATGCATCAACTTGCTCTATGCTTGCTTCCCTAACTGGGAAAGCGCCCTTAGATGTTCTGTTTGGCTCCTGGTCATGGGTTCAGATATGGAAAAAATTAGAAATAATTTAAGTTGCACAGCAAAGTTGCCTTTCTAGAGTAAACCTTCAAGTTACATGTTTCAGTACTGTTTTAGTTGGAATACTGCTCCCGGCTTTTTTTATAGCAGGACTGAAGAAATGAAATGCACCCAGCTCATAGAGGATGCTGTACCCTTCCCCCTCAAAAAATGGGGTTATAAACTCTTTGATCCAAACAACCCTGAGCTTTGGAGACATTTAGACCCTAGTCCAAATTTTGTGACTGTATCACATCTGCCTTTATTGCACTGAATGGGTTATTTTATTTTAGCTAGCAGAATTAGGAAGCAGAGGGAGAGCCTTCCAGACTCATTTCAGAGTCCAAACTCTGGAAGCCACAGGGTCCCAGTCCTTATTCCAGCAGGAGACGATGGTGCCTTTAAATTTCCAGTGATGCCATCAGTTCCAGATGCTGTCAGCTGTTTTGGGGGGTAAGTGGTGCCGAATGGTCTTTGACTGCCCTCCTATCCTAATTATAACTAGTTGTCATGTTTAAATGTTCATTTGAAGCAAAACCAAATTAGTAACAACATAAACATGTAGAGCTTGGTCCTCAGTATGTGTAAATCTGCACAGCTATGTGAATATCAATGGCAGTTTGTACTGTCAGAGCAGCTAGCCATTTGTTTGCGTATCCACTTGACACTGAGACATGAAATGTTCCATTATAAATATAGAAAAGGGAGTCCTTTCCCCAATTTGTATGTTCAAATCCACCCTGGAATTAGAAGAGCGGAGAGAGAGGCTCACAGGGACATCAAAATAGAACCTTTCTCCCTTTACTATGTTGAAACTAACAATGGAGAATACATACTGCATTACTACTCAAAAATTGCATCCGGTGGTTTTGCACAACATCAGGATTACCATCAGTCAGAAATCTTGAATTGCAGCTTTACTGGGTGGGTCTTTGAAGAATTTGAAGGCGTTCTGCAGATGGGGCGTGTTTACCTTTGAGAAAGTAGTCAGCATATGTACCTGTTCTTTGCTAACACACTAGCACCCTCTTTGACTGAAACACTGCAAAGGTAGGTAGGCATTTCTTCCTTTCACACTGAATATTGAGGATTTGAGCTATTAGCAGGCACTGGTTTCTAACATTGTCTGGCTCATAAAGAAAAACTGCAATTCTAACACAACTTACGACAAAGTGTTTGAATGAGCCAGATGTCTGAGATAAGTTTTAGCAAATCTTTATTTGAAAACTTTTTTTGTATGTTTTATGACTGATTCATTGGTCATGGTGTTCATATTTTGCAATAAGTTTTCTTTTTAAATTAGAGTGTGAAGGTTAGAATGGCAGATTTTGCTTTTTCTCCTATCTTACCAGTCTGATCACTATTTCATGAAGTTTTAATTGAACAATGTCAAATTATTGAATCAAAGAAGTAAAAAAATGCTTTTAACAGGAAAACTAAGTAAGCTAACTACACAGAGAATTCTGTTTTTCTTCTTGTATGTTTAAGGAAAATATTTGTATTCAAGTCACATGAAAAAGGTGGCTGATTTTTTTTGGAAGGGGTTGGGGGTTAGAATGGTAAAATAATTAAAAATTGTTTCACAGAAAACTGAATTTAATATCAGAACATGAGATGTCTGTTCTATATTAAGATCATTCTGACCAAAGAGCTGAAACAGGTGTTGCCAGACATTTCACATTGAAACAAGTCACCACAACTATTACTTCCAAAGTGATGGTATCACACTTCGCATGCTCTTGCAGAGAGCTCTTCATGAGGAAACACACATTTTTTTGACCTGTACCTTTTTTTTTTTTTAAGATAAGATTTTGTAATTTCCTAGCCTCAGTGTCAGGTCCTCACCTGGTATAAGCTGCCATGGTGCCACTGATGTTCTTGGGATTACACTGATTTACATCAGCTACAGATCTGGCCTTCAGCCCGTATCTTGATGTGAGGCAAGAGCTGGGAGCCAGTTGCTATGATGTAGATGGAAGGCCAGATGGTTGCATGATTATTATACCCACCGTGTTCATGCTGGTTTTGGTGTGGGTGGGAGAAGTATTGGGGGGGGAGAGGACAGCCATGTTGAAACGAGAGCGCAAGTCTGGGCAGTAGCCATAGGTAGCTGTCAGGCTGTGGGTTAATGCTGCCTGAAGCTCTTCTCCTCCTACATGCATCTTTGGGCAGCCTTAGTATTATTATTATTTTCTTGGTATTATTGTATTCATTATTGTTTGTCTAACCCTTACCTTGGAATGGCTTGACATGCCAGTGTGTGAATAATCACACATTTCTTGCTCCACAGAGCTCTCCGTGCAAAGGAGTAGAATAAGGCAGGCCAAGGAGGGAGGGAGATAATAGGGAATGAGGTTTGGCGGAGGAAGAGGTATACCTTATGTTGTATCTATTTTGTTGTACGTAGGAGCATTTCCCTCCTCTCTTCAAATTGCACAGCATGTTACTCCTTTGCTTTTGCATATGTTTAATTGGAAAATATGGGGTGGGAACCTGTAGCCACTGCCTCCAGTAGGGCTAGAGTTGATTGTGGGTCTCGGTTCCAGCATAAAACTCCATCCAAAACTCTCCCCTTGTCACTCATCCCAAGGTTTGGCCTGACAGCCATTTACTGACTGGCTCAGAATGGAGGAACATGTATATCTTTCATTTCACTGCCCTCCTTCCTACTACTCCCCTCTCCAAATCAGGAGCTAGACTGGTGCCTCTCTTCTAGCCCTGTTGACCACTCTGTCGGACCAATAGCACTCCCACTCTGGTTTCCGTGCCAAGGATGCCTGCTCCAATAATCTGGAGTAAGATTTTAAGGATCCACCTTCATCTCCTTGCCGAGTAGTATTTTTGGAATGTCGTAGCTCAGGGGTGGACAATAATTTTTAAAAGGGGGCCACTTCAGAAATTTCTGAAGTGGCCCCGGACCACCCTGGATGGGGCAGGACCTTGGATGGAAGGGGCAGGGCCAGGAGACTTCCTGTGTCCCCCCCCCCCCCCCCCCCTAGTTTTCCCTCTCCCTGTTCCACCCTGCCCCCTAGAGAGTAACGCCAGCTGTTTTTAAACAGCTGGCATTCCCTCTAGGCGCAGAGTGGGAGGAGACCTCATGCGCTCTCCCTACCCCCAGGCCAATCAGGGCCTGGGGGTGGGAGAGCACGCAAAGTCTCCTCCCCCCCACAGTGGAGAAAGAGACAC